CAAAATAACAACTGATTACCCATCGAAAATCTGCACAGCCTTATTTATAGTGGAGCAGCAGCGGTGCTAACACTAAACAAGCAGAATATCTCCACGGACACTCAAGTTAAAAATGTCCCAGTCACGCCAGCATGGCAGCACCGAATTACTAATAAAATCGATAGTATCAGGCGGGACATAGGAATTCTGACATAAAATCAAAGCTTGAACCCCAGCAGCTCAGTCACTAAGAAAGCCAAAGCCATTCTTGAAAGGGAACAAAGCCTCGAAAATCCAACAGCAACAGAAATACTGGATCACCTTAAACAAAAACTCAAGGCTATGGCTAAAAAACTCCGACGGTATAAGATAAGGAAAGCAACACAAGACGTCAACACAATAGCCAGTTTAGCAGGAGTGAAAGGACCTTTTATAAAAATTTAGAGTCTGAAGATCACGAGATTGGAACCCTGCAAGAAAATAAGGTCCCCACACCAGAGGCCATGAAAACGTTTTGGGAATCAACCTGGGGAAACCGTGTGATTCACAACAATACCAGATGGCTGTCTGACGAGAAGAGGTCTACATCTAACCTACAGACAATGTTGGAATGGGAAGTAACAACCGACCAAGTAACCAAGGCTATAAACAAGACCTTGAATTGGAAGGCACCTGGACAGGATAAAATCCAAAATTTCTGGTTAAACAATTCAAGGTCATTCATCAACATCCAGCCAAATGTTATACTCGCCTGCTGTCCAACCCTGAAGAACTACCACCATTCATGACCAGTGGTATCACTTATTTGTTACCAAAAACGAAGGTGTCCTCAGAAGATCCATCCAAATATACGCCGATCACCTGCCTTCCTACAATATATAAAATATTCACGTCCATCCTATCGGAAAAGATATAACAGCCACATGGAAAGAAATAACCTGTTGGACGAAGAGCAGAAGGGTTGTCGAAAAGGATCCAGAGGGTGTAAAGAACAATTAATAATAGATACGGTCATCACATCTCACGCGAAACGATCAAAAGGCTCTTTGCACACAGCGTGTATAGACTATCAAAAGCGTTTGACAGTGTTCCTCACTCCTGGCTATCCGGGTGCTGCAGCTTTATAAAGTCGAGGCCCATGTACTGAATTTACTGAACTACGCCATGTCTCAGTGGAAAACCAGAATTGTCTTAAACACCAACCAAAAAAGTGTAGATGCAGGTACCATTAAAATAGAAAATGGAATATTCCAAGGGACGCATTAAGTCCGCTATGGTTCTGTCTGTCGCTGCGACCCCTGAAAACTATGTTGAATAGGCAGCGCAAAGGTTATATACTGCCACACTCAGACAAGAATATTAGCCACCTTTGGTACATGGATGATTTAAAGCTGTATGCAAAGTCTAAAAAACACCTTGACGACCTTCTGACTTGCGTCACCCGATTCAGTCGCGACATAAAAATGTCATTTGGGCTGGACAAATGTAGACCAGTGGGATGGAGAAGGGCCAGTGGGTACATCACGCGGGGTATCAAGTTGCTGAGCGGCAAACCATCGCCGAATGGAGGAGGGAGAAAGGTACAAATATCTTGGATATCTGCAAGCAAGGGGTCTAGATCATACAGCAGCAAAGCAGACAGTAAGTGACACCTACATTAAAAGAATCCGTCGATACTGAAGACTAAGCTGTCTGCCAGGAACATGGCAAAAGCAGTTAACACCTATGCCACATCTGCAGTTTCTTATAGCTTTGGAGTGATTCACTGGACAGCAACTGAACTCAAAAACCTCAATATCAAAACCAGAAAAGAGTTCAGCAAATTTCGAGCACATCATCCGCGTTCATCATTGGAAAGGTTCCACGTGCATAGAAAGTTGGGTGGGAAGAGGTATACCTGATCTAGTTATTAACCACAACAGGCAAGTAACAAACCTTAGGAACTACTTCCTCGCCAGGGCTGCGTCCAGTGAGATTCACCACGCTATCATAAGGGCGGACAATAAGGCAGACATATTAAGACAGGCAGACCAAAACTTCAGCCTTAGCGTGGACCAGCTCATACCCGAGCAAACAACTGCAACAATGGAAGGGTAAGGCACTTCATGGTAAATACCGCACCCTACTCGAGAGCGATAAGATCGATACCTTCGCATCCACGGCCTACCTCTGCTCTGGAAACCTGTTTGCTGAGACAGAAGGGTTCATATCTGCTATCCAAGATCAGTTCATCGCAACTAAAGTATATAAAAGAAACATAATGCGGGAACGACAAGACAATATCAGATGTCGTGTGTGCGGTGAAAAGGATGAATACCTGGACCAACATCATCGCTGGCTGCTCAATGTTGGCACCGAAATCCTACCTAGACAGGCACAACAGAGTCGGAAAGATAATCCCACCAAAGCCTTCGTGAAAAGTACATGGATTGACAGAAATAGTGCCGTACTATTTATACGAGCCGCCTGCTGTGTGCGAAGATGAACAAACCCGGCTAATGAAATATAATAATAATAATCTTAATAATTATAATAATAATTATAATGATATAATAGTAGTAGTAATTATAATAAAATAACAATCAATATAATAATAATAGAAGAATAACTATAATAATAATAATAATAATAAAATAATAGTAATAATAATTATATAATAATAATGTTAATAATAATAATAATTATTATATTAATAATAATTATTATTATAATTATAATAATAATAACAATAATTATAATAATAACAAGAATAATTATAATAATAATAATAATTATTATTATTATAATAATAATACTAAATAATAATTATAATATATAAGAAGAATATTTTAATAATAATTATAATAATTATAATAATAATAATAATAATTATAATAATAATAATAAGAATAATTATAATGATAATAATAATTATCATAATTATAATAATAATAACAGTAATTATAACAATAATAACAATCATTATAATAATAATTATAATAACAATAATAATAATAATAAAATTAATAATAGTAATTATAATAATAATAATAGTAATGTTAATAATAATATTATTATAATTTTTTTTATTATTATTATAATTTAATATAATAATAATTATAATTATTATATAATAATAATAACAAGAATAATTATAATATAATAATAATAATACTAATAGTAATAATAACAATAATAACTGTAATAATTATAATAATAATAAGAATAATTATAATGATAATAATAAAAATACTTATCATAATTATAATAATAATAATAATGTTAATAATAATAATAATTATTATTATAATTATAATAATAATAATAATAACAAGAATAATTATAATGATAATAATGATAATTATAATACTAATAATAATAATAATTATAATAATAATAATAATAATACCATACCATACCATTATTACATATATTATATACATATAGATACATGTTTGAGGTCATAAACTAGATAAAGTTTATACAGAGTCGTCTTCTTGCTCTACACACGATCACTGATCACTAGGATCACATGCACTTAAATATTCACTTACAGTATAGAAGCAGTTTTTTATCAAATAGCTTTTGACAAACCTAGAGAACTGTTTGTTAGACATCTCAATATTGGACCGCTTATGATATCTAACAAAGTTTCTGTAAAGCGACACATTAATCTTATTGTGTTGTAATTATAATAATAATAATAATAATAATAATTATAATAATAATAATAATAATAATAAAAATAATAATGATAATAATAATAATAATAATTATAATAATAATAACAATCATTATAATAATAATTATAATAATAATAGTAGTAATTATAATAATAATACTAATAATAATGTTAATAATAATAATTAATTACTATAATAATAATAATAATTATAATAATAATAATGATAATACTAATAATAAACTCAATCGACAAGATCAAGAACGTCGCTGAAGTGGCCAGACTAGCAAAAGTAGCCTCGAAACCATTGCACGGACAGTTCTTCTGACAACTCGAGAGAACAGAGGTAGATAAACGTGGAAGTGTCAGCTGGTTGAGAAGCTCTACGCTGAAAGCGGAAACAGAAGCTCTGATAGTATCTGCACAAGATCAAGCATTAAATACAAGGTACCACCAAAGTATATACTAAAACAAAGTATAGACAGTAAATGCAGAATATGCGGGCAGTCCGACGAACACATCAGCCATATAGTAGCAGGTTGCCAAGTACTAGCCCCTTCAGAGTATACCGCTAGACATAACAATGCAGCTAGTTACGTTCACTGGAAAATATGTGACTCGTTCGGTATTCCAGTTACAGATAAATATTATCAGCATGAAATTCAGAGTGTCACCAACATCAAGAATGACACCACTGATGTATGTATTATGTCGGATGTGCCGGTTATAATGGATCGAACAATAAAAGCAAACCGACCTGACATTATAATTCATAACGGAAAGGAGAAAACATGTCAACTAATTGATATAGCGGTTCCCGACGATTCCAATGTAAAATCAAAAGAAAATGAAAAGATATCTAAGTACAGAGATCTCCAGATAGAAATACAGAGGATGTGGCACGTGAAAGCTTGGATAACTCCTGTCGTTGTCGGTGCATTAAGAACTATCACCAAAACCTTCCACGGAAATTGTGACTCAATACCGGTAAACCAGCACTCTACCAAATTCAAAAAAACGGCACTACTAGGAACAGCGCATATACTAAGGAAGGTGCTTGGATAGTCTCTTTGATATCTGGTTGATATCTGGTCTATCCTTTATTACCAGACAGATACGTCTGTGGAAGAAAAAGATAATAATAATAATAATAATAATAATACTAATAATAATAATTATAATAATAATGATAATGATAATACTAATAATTATTATAATAATAATACCATACCATACCATACCATTTATTACATATATTTATATACGTATACATATAGATACATGTTTGAGGTCACAAACTAGATAAAGTTTATACAGAGTCTGTCTTCTTGCTCTACACACGTTCACTGATCACTAGGATCACATGCACTTAAATATTCACTTACAGTATAGAAGCAGTTTTTTATCAAATAGTTTTTGACAAACCTAGAGAACTGTTTGTTAGACATCTCAATATTGGACTGCTTATGATATCTAACAAAGTTATTTGTAAAGTGACACATTAATCTTATTGTGTTGTAATTATAATAATAATAATAATAATTATAATGATAATAATAATAAATATCATAATTATATATTAATAATAATTTAATAATAATGATAATAATAATAATAATAATATAATAATAATAATAATGTTAATAATAATAATTATAATTATAATAACAAGAATAATTATAATAATAATAAAATAATTATAATAATAATAATAATTATAATAATAATGTTAATACTAATAATTATTATAATATAATAATTAATATTAATAATTATAATATAATAATTATTATGATAATAATAATCATAATAATAAATAATACAGGGTGGGGCAAAAGTCACGAAGGGATTTGAAAAATTAATAACTTTTTTAAATTTATTTTGTTTCATTTTTTTTCAGGACCGTGTAAAATAAATCCTGGAGATTAATTATGGAGCGTTACAACCTCAATCAACGAACCAAACTTATAGAATTTTATTTGAATATCACCATTCAATAATTCAAACTCAACGAGCATATCGTCGTCATTTCAATTTGCGGAATTCGCCCTCTGAATCAATGATTCGACGCTTAGTGGCACGATTTCAGCAACAAGGCACAGTTATGGATCTCCCACGAAGCGGAAGGCCACGTTCCGCAAGAAATGAAGGGAACATTCAACGCGTTCAGGAGAGTGTTCAGGAGAATCCGGAAACCTCAACCCGAAGACGTTCTGCTGAGCTGCAGATGTCTCAAAGGTCTTTACGCAGAATATTAGAGGAAATTTACATCTGTTTCCATATAAAGTGCAGCTAATGCAAGAACTAAAACCAGCAGATTTTCAAGAACGACTAACTTATGCAGTTCGCTTGCAAAGAATGGCTCGAGAAGATAATGAATTTATTCATTCTCTGATCATGAGCGATGAAGCCCATTTTTATTTGAATGGCTTCGTAAATAAGCAGAACTGCAGAATATGGGGTACCGAGAACCCAAGGTGGTTCATCAAAGGCAATTACATCCGCTTAAATGTACAGTATGGTGCGCAGTTACGTCTCAACGAATTATTGGACCATTCTTCTTCGAAGACCACGATGGGAATGCTGTATCTGTAGATGGCGACCGATATCGTGATATGATTCAAAATTTCTTAAGACCAGCTCTTGCTGACAATCAAACGATGACTTTCCAACAAGATGGAGCCACTGCGCATACTGCTCGAGCCACTATGCACCTTCTAAGGCAGATTTTTGGCGAACGTTTAATTTCGAGAAATTCAGGATTCAATTGGCCCGCCCGCTCGCCGGACTTAACAGCCCCTGATTATTTCCTTTGGGGATATCTGAAAGGAAAAGTGTATATTAATAAACCCACAACCCTGCAGCAACTAAAAGATAATATTCGAGCAGAAGTAAGTGCTTTGGGGCCAGATATTCTGACTCGGGTAATGGAAAATGCTCTTGCAAGAGCTGCACTTTTCGAGGCTGAAAATGGCGGTCATTTGCGTGATGTAATCTTTCACACTTAAATTGTAAACAAACTCCAAACATTGCATTTTAGTTTTGTGTTAGGGAAAAAATTAAAATTAAAATTTAAAAAAGTTATTAATTTTTCAAATCCCTTCGCGACTTTTGCCCCACCCTGTATAATGATATAATAATAATTTAATAATAATAGTTATAATAATAATAATAATAATAATTATAATAATTATAATTATAATAATAGTAGTAATTATAATAATAATAATAATAATTATAATAATTATAATAATAATTATGATAATAATAACTCAATATATAATAATAGAAGAATAACTATAATAATTCTAAATAATAATAATAATAATAATATAATAATAAATAATAGTAATTCTTAATAATAATAACAATAATGTTAATAATAATAATTATTATTATATTAATAATAATAGTATTATAATAACTATAATAATAATAACAAGAATAATTATAATAATAATTATAATGTCAATAATAATAATTATAATAATAATAATAAGAATATTTATAATAATAATTATTCATAATAATAATAATTGTAATCTAATAATAGTAATTATAACAATAATAACAATCATTATAATAATAATAAGAATAACT